ATTCTCAAGTTGGGACACAAGGCTGAGGTAATATGGTTGACGCAATCAAGCGGGTACATGTTTTTGGTGTTCACGTCAACACTGGAGTTTTGCTTGCGACAGCTCATCAGTTTGCAATGCGTCCAGCTTGTAGCTTCATTCGATTTGGCCGGATGAGCATTCAAGAAACCATTGCCCCCACAAGACGACACGCGGTGGGACCAAACTTGCTTAAGAACGTTTTGACTCCTTTTTGTTCGCGGTTGTACCTGACCAGGGCCTGCTTGTTAGAGCCAATTTTAGCCAATTTTACCCTGCTCTGCGCAGGACGTTCGAGAGACACAGCTGATTTTCAAGGCGGAGCGCAGGAGTTGGACGTCAGGGCGCACGGCTTTTGGGATATGAGGGGACGATCCCTAAACATCCCACCACATCTTATCTTGGGAGGTTCATGTTTCCCATGTCCATTGCGGGAATCATAATTCGACTGCTGTGAGAGTGGGATATTGTGGAGTTGTACCCCCGACTTCTATGGCCAGACTTTGTTTTCACTACATACCGCCTATAGATATGGCGTATCATAGAATTGGTACAGTAGTCCTTGTGAGTTTGCGTTGGGCTTCACTTTATGGTTTGCCTGGCCACGCGAGTTCCCCGAGACATCCCAAACATGTTTGCTCCCAGGCATTTTGACAACCAATGTAGGGATCAAGTCTGTTTGAGAGCCACGGCTATGACCCTGCTATAGTATAGCCGGAGTTTTGACCATGGCACATGTGAACCTGGCCAGTTTGGACAACGTGTTTGTGCACTATTCAATGAATGCAGAGCCCACCTGAAGCTTGTAGCAGGCTTCATGGTTGTAATGCCCCGTGTCAAGCAAGCGACCGGGGGTGAATTCATTTGGGATCAACAATGAGTGCGTTCGAACAATTATTATCTACATGCTTTTTGGGCAGGCCATTCTGATACCAGGAATTGATGACGATTGAGCTTGCTTGGTCCACATTGCCCAGTGAATCCAGTGACTATACTAAGTAGCCAATATTTTAACTCTGGGTTTTTACATGATGGTTTTCCTTTGGTACAATTATGTTGTTTTCTGGGGGGGGTGAGACGTCCAATGCTACCAGATCAAAACACCGAGAAAACCATTTGAAAAGCACCGCCTCACATGGTGTTCCGCCCTCTTCATGGACACCTAGAGCCTAGAGTCCATTTTGCAACCAAGAACCAACAAAACCCTAAACGAAGGAGGTTGCAACATAGACCCGTGTCCATAGGTAAGTCAGTGTGAATTCCGGCAAGTGCCTCTTGGTCTTCGTGGCTGGGCACTGGAATTCAACCCACCATTCAAACAAAGGTTGGGTCTTGATAGGATGATGATTGTTCGCCATTGTTAGCCGTCCAGTTTTATCCAACTTGGGTTCAACTCCCATTCTTAGACTTGAACCCTAGTGGCAGGCACCGCATCCCATGAACCTCGTGGCGCCGCACCTCATGGTGGAGTTGCGATCCGCTGGCTTCGTGGAGGTCTGCGCTGACCTGGACGAGGCATCGGAGGGCGTCGGATGGCATCGATTGGGTTTGGCAAGCCGCAGGTGGCAAGAAACTTTTGATATGAACCAACCTTTGGCTGTCAGAAAGCCCTGACTGTTTCTACTTTCAAGCTCAGCTCTTTACATCAGGTGCCCCTTGATTGGCGGTTTGCTTCGTGGTTTGGATTCGGGTTTGAACCCCTGGGTCTTGTGAGTAAATGAGAAACCTCCCCCAACCACCAAACCACCAAACTTAGGGAAGCTTAAAGAAGGCACCGAAGAGCACCTCCTCCCTGCGTTCCTCGACTTTCGAAGCTTTTTTGGTTTGGACCATTCTGGTGGTGCAAGTCTTGAAAATTTGGGCTACTCCACTCAGGAAGTCAGATAGGGGTCTCATGGGTTTGTGAGTTCTTTGGAGGGTGCCCTTGTTAGCCAAAAGCTTGTGGGGTTCCCTATTTTGACGCGTATATTTCCACCTTTGACAACTTGATTCGCCCAATTTTAAGGTGAGTGTCCTTTATGTGGTAGTGGGGGCTCTTCACAGGTGGCCAATTTTGCCAAAAAAGTATTGCATTTCAGGAACCCTGCAAAAACAGTGCTCATAATACTCTTTCGGGGGGATGTCCTTTTTTTTTTTGGGGGGGGGTGGTTGGGGGTGCCCAAAAACCGGATGGTTGGAGCGGAGCTACAAAGGGCTTAGAACTAAGGTGATAGAGCCCTTCCGAAGGTCTACTTTGGGGTCATTATTTCGACCCTTGCGGCTTAAGGGCTTGTAGCACTTGAACCCACCAGTGAACGCAGGTAACTTTGATGGTAAAATAATAGGCAGGTATGTTCACTGCCAACGAAAAAAGTGGACACACAGTTTTAGGGGCTTCTGCATCCGGGTTTCCCGGTTTCCCCTGTCTGGGTTTGCAACCGGAGACGAGAATCCGCAAACCCTTTTCTTCAGTTCGGGTCACTGGTTGCAAGCTCGAGACATTTGGGCGCTACGCAATCCTTGGGGGTGGCTGCTCCTCTCTAAGCGCGGGAAAGGACACTGGTTGCAACTGAGCACCTGCCATGCAGGTTGACGCGGAATCCCAAATGCTCTATCATTAGAGGAATCTCCTTTCGGAGACCCCGTGTGGGTTTCATGTTAATTTGAGGAGTATGGACAAGTGGCTATAGTACCCATTCTACTATTTATGGCGAGCTCACCTCAACGTCAAACGAGCGAAAGCAGCCAGGAGATAGGTGCTTTGCTGGGGAATCCCTTACCTCCGGTGTTGAACTTATTCTGAGATTCGCAGATATATCAAGCCCTGAAAACCTCAAAACATTTGTCCTTGGCTTCTGGCTAGGAATTTTGATAGCACCCCCGCTAAAAGTCATGTCCACCAAAGGGTCCCCTACTTAAATGCATACAATCCTTGGGCCCAGGAGCACGGCGACATCCTGGAGAGCCTGGACGAGTACTTTGCGGACCGCTTTCAGGCTGAACGCATTGAGGGCCTCCGGCCCCAGATGCGAGAGCAAGAGGACTGAGGGTGAGCGGGTCGGTCCATTACTGAAAATGGACTCGGATTGGCAGAAAGCGATGGTTGAAAGGAATTAATTAGAGCGGACAATCAAATATCCCCAAACACCAGACCCTTGCTCAAATCTGCCTATTTCATGGCGACCCCACCGATCCGGCGCTTTGGCCATGATCAAGGCTCCTTACTTGGATTGCTCACATCCGACTTGGGAATTGTTGGATTTGCAGAATAGCTGGGGGCTGAGTTGGGAGATTAGGCGCTGGGGAGCTGAGCCGTGTTTTCCTTTGTCTTGTCTTGTTCATCTTTGACGTGGCCGCTCTCTTGCTTCCATCATCTTGAATCTTGCACCCTGCATTGCTGTACCTTCGTGGGATCGTTGATGGCACCTCAGCCCTGCACAGACATCCTGAGCTTGACTCATACCTTTCTTCACCCTTTTGTGTGTTTGTTCAACACAAGGGTTTTTTGCACATGTGCGCGTTTGTTGGGGAGAGGGCCTGCTGTGTATATAGGCATGTGCATGTTTGTGTTTGTTCATGAATGCGTGCACGGTATATTTGCATCCAGCTGTATGTCATGCATACTTAAATGGGTCGATGTGAAGAAGCACACGCCCTTACCGTATACTGAAGTCAAAGTACCATGGACCTTCGCGTCTTCTTTGCGCCCGAGGTCACGAAGATTTCTGTGACCGATACTACCAGGCCAGGGTGTTGTGGCTCGAGAGTTCGAATTTGCGGCCTCAAAGGCGAAGTGGGCTGGCCCGTCGCCGTTCTGCCAATTTATGGGCGACCGCTTCGGGGCTAAAACGAACCGAAGCCATGTTGTAGGTCGTTTACTTGGGGATCCCTTATTTCAGGTGTTGCAACCTTGTAGAATGTGCAGATTGTATGTTTTTTGTTTTATTGGGATGGATGGTAGTGGTTTCCCTTGTAATAGTGTCCAACTATGGACTGGGGATTAAAATTAGGGTCCCCCATTTTGCACATTGCCTTTGAGTTGGCATTTGTTTTGCGAGTGTTTCAATTTCACACCAAAGAGAAGCGCCAAAGGGGGCCCACCACTTTGAGACCACGCCCCTCCCGCCCTTTTTGCCAGATTTCAGCAAACTTGAGAAACCCTGTTGTTCAGTTGAGTTTTGGCGACTTCTGTTTGGTGGAGTTAAACAACTGTTTGGGCGTTTGTGGGTGTAAGCTTTTTGATTGGAACCCGGTTGGGGTCTGCTGGGAGGGGGCGGGGGCTGCCTGCACCCGTTCAAAGGCTGGCGATGGCGCCTTCAAGGGCATCGCTGGAAGCCTTGAGAGCAACTTCGGGCTGCTGCCGCTCTGGCTTAAAGACTTTTTTTGGTGTATTTGTGCCTTTGAGCGTTCCTGCGTTTGTGCATGTATTTCTTTGTGTGTCTGCATTTGGCTTCACTAATCCAAAAAATCCAAATTGCTCCTAGGAAGACCCGTGATTCAGTTGGGGAGCACCTCACGTGGTGCTTTTTGGGGCACGCGAACAGAAGCTGGTACTTACAAATGGAGCGGGTTTGTTCCTAGCCCTGCTTATAGGAATGCTGGGTATTGGTTTGGGGCGAGTTGAACCTGTTTAAGAACCACCCGCCCTTGGGTCTTCCCACTCGTGACTGCAACAGCCGCTCAATAAGCAACATGCAACTTGAATGCTATTGGGTTGGATCTTGAGCCTTAACTGTTTAGTCAAAGAGTGCGCATTTGCCCCAGCAACAAGTTAAACGTGCTTGCGCAGAGGACAATCGCCACTAAGTCGTTGTTCGGCTCTGTTTCTTGCGCAACCGCGACCGATCCTGGTGTTTGGAACGCAGAGGCATTTGTGAGTCTTTTGTTTTGCTACCATTTTTACATATTGGTTTAAAGGGCCACAAAGGCAAACTGAAGCCAATTGTTGGGTCCGATTCCTACTTTGAGACACGTTCGGGGGGCTGGTGGAGAACAGCCCATGTCTCGCAGGTGCACTGACGTGTGCGACCGGATCACGCAGTGGGAGGTGTGGAGAAGCAAAAAACACCACGAGCCGGGACGAGATCGATCGGATGCCGCTGTTGTCATTCGGAAACCCATTGTTCTTTGGAAGAGGGTACATCGCAGCCACCTTTCCATCAAGATGGTCCAACAGGTTCAGAAAAAATGGTTGCATGCCAAGTCTCATCGCTTTGGGGCGTAGTTTCAACTCAAACCGCCAGCCAGCGGGCAATTTTGAGGATGTTGCATTGATGATGTCCACACAAACGGGCGGCTTTCTTTGGTTTGCCGTAGGAGGCGGCCGCTCAAGGGAGTAGTAGCCAAGTCAAGTAGCGGAGATCACGTCGGGGCGAAGTGAGCTTGTGACTGCCATCATCGAGTTGTTCAGTTCCCGACTAATCACCAAACATAGGCGCATTTGGCCTCACTTTTGGTAGGCACATGATCTTGCGAGGCCATTTCGCTTATCCCTGCTCCTGTACATGTGATGCAAGGCTCACACCCCGGAGCCGACCCAGGGGCCCCTCTGGGGCTTGGATTCCGGTCCCTTTGGTAGGAAATCCGGAAGGCGGCCAAATCCTTCCTCCACGGATCATTTGCTCATTGAAGCCCGGGTTTTCCCTGTGACACCCCTCAGATAGTTGTGGATACTGTGACAAGTGGGTTTCAGGCGCATGTGTACCAAGAAAAAACCCTTTTGCATAAAGTGACAAAGTAATTATGACACGGAAGCAGCGTCCGCACATGTTCGAGCGTCCTGGTGCGACCCAGGCCCATGGGTTGCATGAGGTGCAAAATGTCCAGTAGTCACAGTAGTCTATGGTTTGCTTTGGGAAGGACATGGCGTTCATAGATTCTTGTACTAGAGGATTCTTGTTCAAGGACAAGTGACTTCCAGCAGGTCCCTTGAGTGCCTTGTGATCGGTTCATTGATTGTTTTCGGGGAGGGTAGACCGTATTCAAGGCATGGTTGTCGAAAATAGGAGTTTGAAACCCTGCTGGCTGTTTCGGTAGCATGGTCAGGGATCCAACTGGGTTTCTGGATGCCAGTTTTGGGTTGTTTCAAGAGGACCCCCTATTTTGCACCTATTGATAAGATAGCAATGTAAATCATGAATTTTGGTATCACCAGGGTGATTCCCATGCTGCTAGGGCTGGAGCCTGGTAGCGTGCAACGCCTCCAACTATGGAGCAGATGGGACCTACAGTGAGCAGCGGCCTAGACGCATTTTTGTTTGAAAGCGAGTCGCCTTAAAACCAGATGGGTTGGGCTGTTGGACCCAAAACCCAAGATTCTGAAACTGATCTTGCATCTTTTTACATCCCCAGTTGGCCCAGTTGGTCTAAATGAGCGTTCAATCACGTCCAAAACCAACGCAAGGTTGCAGAGATTGATTTCGCATCTCTTTGTGCATCCCCACTTGGGCAGCGCCCAAAAGAAGACGAGGATCTTTATGCAAATGTTTTTATTTTTCTTTTTTAAGATCGGCGAAAGCAAAGCCCTGCATTCTGAATGAACCGTCCACACACCCATACCCAAACCGTGTCCTATAGAGCTGTGTTCCATCACCAACATGCAAATCATCACCTAAAGCACATGGAACACCCTGGGGCTAAGATGGTATCCGCATGTGAAAGACCACTCAATCCAGCCGGACCCTGCCGTGGCGAAGAATGACGCCCATTTCAAAGACTCAATCCACGTTTAGATGGCTTAGAGGAGTGCAGTCCGCAAGCGCAGCCATTCTCTGTTTGTAACTCTGTGGTTAACCCAGGTCAAGGGCCAAAAGTAGGATTTGCCCTATCAACCCACTTGGGCCACTTACTCACCTACATTATTCGCCATGGCAACACGGGCCACTTTGGTATCACACAAATGGGTGATTTTCCACCGTGAGTCGCTGGGCGTCGCGTTCCGGGGGCAAAGCACGCCATCCACCCATGACGGTTTCCTTCATAGGGATCAAGTTCTTCTTTTAGGTTCGCTCGTTGAAGCGTGCTGATTTCTTCACTGGCATAAAGCGGCATTTGTGTAGTTGTTTCATTGTTTGGTTCCGTTTGTGTTCAGTGGGCTGCAACGTACCTTGAGTTGCTTGCTACCATGCCAAGGGTTGGAAAGGTTTGCCCAGTGGCTTCCATTGTTTCAAGAATATGTGTTATTTTCCAAAGTTTGTTGTTGAAGGGAATCTAACTGCTGGAATTATGCTTGACATTTTCCAGGGGACGTGCGCACGGGGAAGGTGAGGGTCAGAGTGGAACTAAGGCAGATGATCTTCCGCCGTGACTACCATCCCTTGGGAGATTCGCCCCTTGGAGTTAGCCGAAAAAAGCGCGCTGTTCCGCATTTCGGCGGGTTACATTTGGGTGACCAGAGCGGATTCCCATCGGCAATTGTACCAGGCGGCTCTACCTGGTTTAAGAGGGATTATAGCAAAGCCTACGCAAATCAACCTTGACGGGCCATGTTCGTGGAAGCAGAAATTGGAGAAGGCCACTGCTCATTTGGCTGCCTGTCAGGGTTGAGCAAAGGAGCAGATGGCCAGTTTACGAATGAGCAGACGAGCAAAGTGGTTTCTATCTCGGGTCCAAAGTTTTGGCGCATCTTGGACGCCAACAACATTGTTTTTTCCTCAAGGCGATTCAGATGGTTTGTACTTCATTCACAATGTAGGCCTTAAGACTAAGGTTTGGTCTGCTTTTGAACCCCGGCCCCCCACAAAAGGGACCAATTCAACAAGAAGACTCGCTCAATACCTGTTGCGGGAATGCCCAGGAAGTATGTGCAAGTGATCTTGAACGGCCTGGGCAACATCGAGGTGAATGGCAAACACGCACCTTGCCAGCAGCAGACAACCAAGCCCCGCTAGGGACACCCCCCTCAATTCAACTTAGTGAATGGAATGTGCCCCTTTAACCAGAACAAAGCAGCCCAGAACCGCTCAATCAGGGGAGCCAGAATCAAACAACTGGGCAGAAGGTAAGTAAGGGGCAATCCGTAAATAGGTGCGGACATCCGGCCCTTTTTCATTCTTTTCGCTCTGGGCAGACAAATTCAATACCGTTGACTCATTCGACCCAGCGACAACACAGGTTCGGGCGGAGTGGCTTGGTTTCCTTGAAAGCGTGGCACAGGCCAAAGGGTAGAATGGCCTTCCCTTTGCCAGCTACCTTCCGACATGGCACGAAACAGGACGGCAATGTTGCAGCGGTGTGTGCACAGCTGTGAAGGCACCCCGAAAGAAGGCTGTGAGACCAGCACGTGCAGAGTGGGAAACTGGTTGTGCCCAACAAGTCGTACGCATTTTGCATATCCAGCTATGAGGGTGGTTTCAATCGCTTCCTCCTCTTCTTGCGCCAAGATTCGGGAGATCCACTCCAAGCTGGACGGCTTCCTCAGACGGAAGTGGGGCTGCGCCACTTGTGCTGCGTTGCTCCAATCGCACAAGGGATCCCAGCGCGATGTCAAGAAGGGCATTTTCAGGTGTGGGTCATATTGGAAATACTGCAATGCAAGCTTGTATCGCAGTGCACCCCCCCTTTTTACAGGTGGTATACACCTCCATACCTCCAATACGTTTTTGGGAAAGTCTTTTGAGGATGGTGTTTGCGGCAAATTGCCGCGGGCCAGCCGATCCGGGGGTTCAACAGGTGATGTGGCCTGACCATGAAGGAATCCCCATTGCATGGTTTTGCGCGAAAAGGGGATCTGGATCCAGGCAAGCCGCTGCAGTAGCAACCAGAACTGTCACCTCTAGCTTTTTGCATGGTGGCTTTCCTTGGCTACCTGCTTTGGGGGTCCCTAAATCCACTTGAGATGGGGCTGAAAGAAGGTCCAGACGGATTTGTCCCAAACTGCGGGGGGGGGGATCGTCTGGCTTTTCTCGGAACAGCCTAAGAAAGGGTACAGTCCCTCCTGAATGGAAGCGGCCAAGCTTGGGCGGCGCCCAATTGCCGGAAAACCCCCTTTTGATGTGCGTTTTTCATTGGGAAGGAAAGGCATCCTCGGCATTGCAGCTTGTTGTCTTTCAATGTGCTCGTTTGAGCCCTCCTTGCTAGTGTAGGCAACCAGCAGCATCACGTAAATGCTAGAGGCTCATAGGCTAGCATATTGCGCCTGGATGAAGAAGCTTCAAGGATGGGACGTGGCACAGTGTCCCTCCCAAACTCTTTCATTTGCAATGTTGGGGCATTCTGCTCAATCACACGGCCTCCGAATCTCTTTGGCGCATCCATTTAAGCTCTATAGAAGTTGGTAGCCTGTGACTTGCTTGCCAATGAAACGCAATAGGGAACCTCTGTACAACGGATGGTGGACAACCCTCCCAGGATGATGTCGAGCATTTGAACTTGGCCGTTTTGGTTCGTTGCGAGTCACGGTCCCAAAATCCCATACTGATTCAGAAAGGGAGATGGCCTGCAATGGTCCTTTGGTCATTGTTATAGTCACCAATAGTTACGTACGCTGTTAAATGGCTTCCCTTGCTATGTCTCTCAATAAGTCCTTTGCGCAAGTGAGTTCACCTTGCCTTCCGGGCCTTTTTTTAGGCGAGGGATAAACGTGTGATGTGTCCCAGGCCGGTGGGGGCATTTCCTTTTCGTTTCTGTTTGAGAGGGTTCCCCTTCGCCATATAAAACAAAAAAAACGACCGCACAAATAGATGGTGCTGCCTTCCCGAAAGGTCTCAAGTGTTCCATCTGCTTGGCTGCTTGGATTTTTAGACTATGTTGAACTCACGGCACCGAGGAACGCGCGGGGCAGTTCCACGAAGGTGAGACCATGTGCCGAAGGTGCGGGGCCCGGGATCGATCGAGTGAGTCCATTTCCCTTTAAGTGAACTGAGGGAAACGTGGCTAGCCTTTTGGGACCTAAACTAAATATGGAATTGCAGGTTTGGACAACTGACACTCTAACACATGGGTGGGCCGAAAAACTTTAAGTCATTGCAAGTCGACCAACCACGACGTATGGTAAAGAAGCAGCAACCACTTGGGCACTCACACTCACTGTGGAGTGTTTGTTTACAAACCAAGTGAGCTCTGAGATGCTACGCACATAAATTGCGGAGCCCACGGAGCACTCCAAACCAAACATGCAGAGGAGGTTGTGGACCGTAGCGGTCCTTAAGGACCCCCAAGATGTGTCATTAAAGGCCAAAAGCACAAAGTGAGATGGTGTTTGGCAGGGCATGTTCAAATATCGCTTTGGCACCTCAAGCACTGGGTGGCGTACCGATCTTGAATGATCTTCATGTTGGCCCCCAGTGGGGAATGTAAAGAAATAAAACAGAGGGTAGAACGTTAGCTTGGTTTCCTTTGGTTTCGCTTCTCCGGAGTGCACATTTCTACCCATGTGCCACGGTCTTTGGAGCAAGCCTTTGGAGCAAGCCTGTCATCAGTTTTCGAAGTCACGCCTAGTTTCACGAGTGGTCTGAAACCATACAAGTCTCCCCAGAGGTTTTGTCGACCATGGCCTCGCCCAGGTGACACAAGCCCTACGGCTAATTCAGCAAGGGGCGGTTGGGCTCGCGTGTCCGAGGAGTTCCGGGGCCCTTTCTTGGGTGTTGACCATTTTTAGTGCGCGGCCCAGACAAAGGGAGAAATAATGCCACAGAAAATCTGGGTTGACAGCTTCGAATTAGCCCTACGGATTGCTTCCCATCCAGTCTCTTAGCTCCCAATAGCAGACTAGAGCTGACATGATATCCAAACATAAAGGTCAGAAATCCCACAAACTAACACACTAAAATACTCTTGATAGGGTGTTTTGGTGTTCTTCCGGCGATCTAAATATTCTATTCTGGCGATCGAACTGTCAGGTACACCTGGGGCAACGACCTCAACATGCTGCTCTGCACGGCAGAGGTGGTGAAATTCTTCGAGCTTCAGGGATGGGCCGGGCACCCAACTGGTCCCAAAGTGGGGCTCAAGGTGGAAGGATTGGCTGGGCTGCTTGGTTGGACCTGAACATCTTTAGCTCCTCCGAAAAGTGCGCAGTCACCTGCAGAAGGTTTGTAAACGTTCATAGGTTGGGCAAGGACAACGGCCCTTGGACCTTCAGCTTGCCAAGTGATCCTAAGTGGTTTCCAAGAGGTCCCTAGACGGCCCATGGCATCACTTGCCCAAAGCGAATCGACCGGATTTGCCCTTTTGTGTCCTTCCTGGACTTTAAAAAACTTGTTGGCTTTGGACCATTTGAGTGGTAGACAAAAAGTTTGGACTTTCTCTGACCAACCCACTCAGGAAGTGAGTTCCCCTGTTTGGCCCATGTTCAGAGGCTCCAAAGCAACTGAGACAATGCTGGGCCAAGGGTGCATGGTCAGGACTGGTTTTCTTGGAAGATGCCGACTTCCGTCAAAGTGCACCTGGCGAAAGGCGTATTGCACCCTGTGTTTGGAACAAACGTGACGAAACCCGTGCTGTTGCTTCTTGGCCATAGCGTTGCTTTAGTTGGTAAGCGTTGTGCGTGTTTAAGTGGGAGCACCAAAAGTAAACCGAATGACGTCTGTGGCAATTAGAAACTTCTGGTACCCCCCAGCTAAAACGAGCAGTATGTCATGTATTGTGTACCGTATTTGTGGCGCGTTTTAAACAACAGCCAAAGGACAACTGCCCATGTTCAGCGATGCTCATCCTTGAGACAAACCCAAACGATATGTCTCTTGACTGGGGTTGCATCTCCAATGTGGACTTGCTTGCTCTTCACTCCGACCCTTAACCTTCAACAAGTTGGGAAAGTGGTCGTTTCCTCATCAAGTAATATGAGGAGCATTCTTTTGTTCGCGGTGAGTTGGACTTATTTGACTGTGAATTTGAACACCCTGCAAATAGGTAAACCAAACCACAATTTTCCATCCCACCAACGTGGACCATGGACCCTGCAGTTTTGGGATGCCCAGTTTCCTCGAAACGGGGCTTTTTGGCAGACCCCCCGCTTTGAGGGCTCAGTTGTTCAAAGCGGACCTTTGGATCTTTTAGTTTCCCTTTGGCCCATTTTGGTGGCCCCAAAGGTTATCCTTGCATTTCTAGGTGCTTTTTGGCTGCCGGTGAGTCAACATTCGGATGCGTCTTGTTTGCGGTACCTTTGTTTTGTTTTAAATCTAGAAAACGGTTTGGATGTGGCTTTTGTGGTTCCACCCCTGTAGAAGGTTAAAAGAGTACTAAAAGAGTACTAAAAAAGGACCAACAGGGGGAAGAACAGGTGAAATCCACAAAAGGTGCATCCAAAACGGTTTCTAGATTAAAGGAAGGCCAAAAGGAACACCACCACTGGGGTGCCCCCTCAAATCGACAAGCCCGCTTGGCTTCCATGCCGGCATCTCCTTTTCGCCGAGGAGATCCAGGTGGCCTCCCAGCAGCAGGTGCTCGAGGAACGAGACGCGGGTGGCTTTCATTGGAGCTTGGGATGGTTCCTCATTTGCCAAGGGTCCGTTTTTTCCGGCCGCGGAGGGGTTAATCAGCCTTTGTTGGTTTCCCTCACCTCCCGAGTTTCTCGACTTGATCTTCACTGTTTGGGAGGATCAGGGTCATCGCTGGCAAACAAGCTTGGGCAATCCACAGAAGTGACTAACCCACCAGTAAATTCAACATTAAGAAGCTCCAGTGGCGTGATTCAAAGGGAGACTGAGCCATGGAGTCCCTTTGCGGACATGTTTGTCCACTCGGCCCCCTGGGCCCGTCTCCAAGTCGGAAAGACAACGTTGGCCCGCCTTCCCCCACGAAGGTTCGAAAGGACCTTTGGATCAGAACATCTGGAGCTTCCTTTCTAGGAGCGATTTCATGGCCCATCCTAGAGGCCATGATTTGGGATGTGATTTGAAAGGTTCAGGAGTTTGGAGATGAGGGGAGATCATATGCCCAGGCGATCTCGTGCGCAATTTTTTTCCCGAGCTCACCATGTCACCGAGTAGTAGTTAAACAGGATCATGATGAAGTCCACTGTCATCTTCCTTATTTCCAGCATATCGAAGCCAGCCAAGTGATCCAGAGGCTATGGAGTCATCAGAGTTGGTTGCAGCAGTTGATGAAACAACCAGATCCTGTCTCCCCCAAAAGTAATTGGTGATTAAGCAGTTTTTTAGGAAGGGCTCAAAAAAGAGGTTCTTTAATAAATGGCGAGTTAAACCATGGTTTAACCTGGTCGAATCGCAGGGTCGGGGCTTCTGCCGGCCAGGACGGCAACTGGTGCCAGGAGCAGCAGCTTCTCTTCCGCCCCGGGCGGACGGAGGCCTTGCGAACCCGCGAAACCGGACCTTCCGAAGCCGCCGTGCATTAGACTTTGCTGCGCGACCTTTGTGTTCAGATGGCAACTTGGTGAGTGAGTTGCCCGATGTTGTTGCTCTCACCATTCATGCCATGTTGGTTAGCTCTTTAGTTTTGTTGGTTCTGTTCAACTTAGCTGCGAGATGAGGAGCAAAGTTTCAAACATGTAAGTGTTAGACGTTCCCATCGTAGGCCCATGGAAGAAAAGGCGGGTGGGTGTCCACTGCATAAGACAAAGGGGTGCAATGCAACATCTACCACGATTGGTTTGATGCAAGGCCCCCCCGTTCTCAAGTGGCAACAGGGCCCCTTCTGGGTCCAATTCAATTCTTAACGGGATTGACATGAAATCTGTGACCTGACAAAATCCACTTCGCACCAGTCACCATTCAGGATTGGTTCTTTATCCGCCATTATTCAACTCAGGTTTCATCCACCCCGGTTGGTTCGGGTGGATTTTGCTCCAAGCCCGAAAGCCAGGCTTCCCCCCACCCCTTGGCAACATATTGCGTCAACAGGGGGGAGGGGGGGTTTGCCGCACGGTCTGTACGCTGACGTCGCGCAAGTTTGCGGCGCCTGCGAAACATAGTTGTTCACGCACAACACACCTTTGTTTTACCAGCTATTGCGCACCAAACTTGCCCCGCGTTGCCCCAACATGTACGCTGCAGGATGTCAACATTGCCCCAACATATTGCAATGGTCAAACCGCCAGAAGTAGCTTGGGGATGCTAGGGATGTTAGTGGGCACGAAAGGAAAAATGGGCAACCGCAAGGATTGAATCCTGATTGCTACGGAAGCCATGACCCTGCCCGCAAATGAAGTTTGGACCATGGCTCAGATCGCGACGCGAGGTGGGCACTATTGAGCCCCATGTCTTCTTTGAGCTCTATGCGGGCGAGGGTGACCCTCAGTACTTCGAAGATGAGGAGACAACGCAGGCTCCACGGGCATTTCGTGCAGCATGTGAGCTTGCCTGCTTGATTCGTTGTTGCTTGTTTTCGTCTGCTTGTGGCTTGTTTGTCTTCCTTGCACTTTTGCTCGCTCTCTTGGAAACTTGCGCTTGCTCTTTGGCTTGCTTTCCAACTTAACTTACTTGTATTTCTCGTTTCTTGCATGTGGGTTTGTCTTTCGAGGGCACCCGTATCAGTTTTTGCTTGCTTTGCGAGAAGCTGAAGGAAAGCCACATTTTGTTGGGCCCAGGTTTTGTAGACATGCACTTTCTTGTTCAGAGGCATGGCCAAGGCCTTCCATGGCGAATCCACTCTGGATATCGACATGAAATGGGTCCCAGCACGCTGATTCTTCCCGCAAATGCCTGGTTTTTCGGACTTCATGTGAAACAGCAGCGCGGGGTAATTACATCAGTTTGCGAGGGCTGAATGATTTCTTTGCTTTGGGGCCATTTTTTGATCAAGGCGCAGTGTTTGCGCAGTTGGCGGCTGGCTGATTTCCGCTGCCCTAAAAGTCGAATGCGATTGTGTGTTTGAAGCGCTATGCGTTCCCCGCCCTGACGCCTCCTAATGCTAACCCGGGATGAATAAACCTGTCCTATCGATGAACCCCCAATCACAAGAAACACACACACACACCTGTATGAGCAAGAATGCCTTGAGAAAGGTGTCCCATTGGGTGAGTGTCACTGAAAATAGATCGGTTCCACTGTGTTCAGATAGGCTCTTGTCATTTACTCGTGACACCTCCCATGGTTTGTGAAACTTTCAGCTCCGGCCTTGGTTGTTTGCAAGAAAATCATGCCTGAAATCTGGAACCACCTGGTTGAGAGCGGAAACGGCCTAGGTTCCCTCACTCCCTGAGTTTATGGACTGAAAACGTTTTGGGAGGTAATTCTAGGGGCAAACAAACTTTTAGGAGGAAGTGAGTTCCAGAGATACAGCAGTAGCCTCTTGATCTTAGGTGCTGGGCAACCAGCATCTTGGCTGAACTCTTGCGTGTTGCGCTCGAGAGGTGGCAGTTGCCATGTTTCATGATCCCCTGTCTTTGGGGTTGAGTGGCTTAAAAGGAAATCCGGGACGACCAAACGTAAGAAAATGACTCGTGCGAGGCAAGTTTCCAGACCAAAGCCTTTCCTTTTCAGCTGGTTGCCCCTTTTGGCTATCCTTCGTTCAGCGAAAAGTCAACTTTGTTCTCGGGGGTCTAAGTCAAGGACGTTGATCTGTAAGGGCCACCTGAAGAAGCTGGTCAGGAGCGACATATTGGAACCCGAATATTCCTGTAAGTTTTCTTGGTTAAGAACCCTTTGATGGTTTACAGTTGCCATTGCAACTGCAACTGGGATTCAGCGAGCAGGAGAGAAGTGTGGCAGAAAACACAAGATGATGCGAGGCAATCACAACGAAGGTGCAGCAGGTTCCTCTTTGGTCAAGTGTCATTGGAGGACCTTAGGTGAGTTAGGTAGAACATGTCTGGATTCCACGAGTTTCAAGTTGGTTCGCATTGCTTACGAGTTGGCTCGAATTGGTTATCCCCCGAATTGGTGGTTTGGATTGGTGGTTTGGGGATTTGAACCTGTTCTTGTGGAGGGCAAATTGGACACCAGGGAGCAAGGGGACCAAACGCAACAATTAGTTTTTGTGTTGTGTGTGTGTGTGTATTTTTTGCGGGGTGGGTCCCATGAAAAAAGGCATGCCCAAACTGTAGCCTCCCTGCAGCTTTGCTAAGGCTCCCCCCATATTTGGCCATGAACTTTAATGGGACACCCCTCAACAGTGTGGACATAAATCCCCACCTACATCATGCCCACTAAGGGTCCCCATGAAATCACTCCCATCACTTCCGTATCTTCCATTGGCTTAAGACTTGTTTCTTTGCCCTTGTTGGTTCTCCAGGAAATGTATCGCTACTGGCGACATATTTATTTGTTTGATGGGACTCGAGAGGGAAGTTAGAGGACACCTGGACTTGGGGTAAACCCTGGGTGCCCCGCGACTCATCCTAGGCAGCTCCGCATCCGGTGCATTGGCCCGGGCTCGGACAAGGGCAGGGTGAGCCCGGAGATTCGGAGCGTAATGCAGGAGCTCGGTTCTTCGAAGTGAAGCAGCGTTTTAACCTTTGGGTTGTTCCTTTTTGGCCCACTTTTCGTAACCCACCAATTGGAGGGAAGCTGACAATCAGAGGACCCCCAAAATGGTGGTCTCCTTTTAGAATCCCGTTTGAAACAACCCCAAAAAGGTCCAAACCACCAAGAGGGAAAGCTGAGTGCATCCAGGAGTTCCAAACCTTCGTGGAGGATTACCTGGGAGGTGAGCAGACGGAAACCGACGGGGAGTTTGAGAGCGTCTATGCCTGCAACGTCTTCATGTGCAGGCGGGCTTGTGGTCTCCAGGAGGCCGTTTTTTTGTGGACTAGTCAAATATCTCAGCTGAATTGCTTGTCAAGAAAGGTTCCACCCGAAGTATCGTCTTTTTGTGGAAATCCACACATCCTTGGGGCAATGTGTTTCCCCCTTCTAGGATCTTTTGGTTGTTCGGCCGTGCAAAAGTTGCCAAACGCTTCTGCTGGTTAGCTGCCAGAAGAGGTCACCTCAGTTGCCCAGAGCAAAAACGACTGGATCTGACCTTTTGGTTAATCCCTTTTTGGCCCATGTTTAGTGACCTTGTATTTCTGGTTGCTTTGGGCAAACGAGAGCCTGTACTTGCGAATTGCCTTGGGGCTTAGCTAATTAGAGCCAAAGCCAATTCGGGTGAGTGAAGGTTGGCACAGAACGGTCCCCACCAGAAATCGGCGCGGATATCCGCCCTTTGGATTCTTGACATGGTGTTGGGTGCAGTTTAGTGTCAGGTTGCCAATGGTGTTCCATGTTGGCCTGAGTATTTACTAATAGCTTAGTCCTATACAGATGATGGCCAAATTTGCTTTGAAATCGCTCCCCCAAATCCTATCCCTTGTGCTATGTATACCCTTAATGTATGATGGCAACATAGCGGTGATGGCCTCCAATTTGTTCGAGGGTTGTTTGTGGGTGCCAAACTATATCTTGCTCTTTCTTTGCCCCTTGCAAAAGAAAGCAGCAACAGTTGGATTCCCTTCCACCAAACATGGACGTGCACATTGCCCTTTTGCAAGATGACTTCCTTTGCAAACGTCGCAAACCGGGCTTGTGCGCTTCCATCTTGGTGGGAGGGCAGCCTCAAAAAGACCACAATCCTTTCTTTGGCTCCGACTTGAACTGCTAGTGTGTGCTGACCGGCGCTAGGCAGCGCCCTGAATTCAAGGACCGTTTTACTGTTCTTGGCATGGGTTTAAGGTGTGTCGGAAAGGCGGACAACTCGACAACTCCCCCCAAAGGGGTGGCTCGCCCTGTGGTTTCAATTGTGGCTTGCCTGGAACCGGACTCCAGGGGAAAGTTCGAGAACAACCTGGCCCAGTGGACCATGCGCCTTTGCGAACCTTGGCAATGGCAGGGGTTCCGTTTGCTTGTTTGCACTTAGGTGGGTTTTACCAATTTCGTAGGCACATGGGTGACTCGCGTCAATGTGTTCGATGCTGGTTCCAATGCCCGTACTTTCTAAAAGCCGCGAGTATCCACAGCGCTGGAACTCCCCCGGAACCTTTCTGGAACCAAGCTGAAAGGGTACTGGCGCTAACCCCCAGCATGGAACACATACGGAGTTTTGACCTGTGTCATTTGCGCAGATCCGGCTGTTTGCATTTTGCGGGTTTTCTCCGGCGCATGCCTTCCAAGCCTGTAAGAGGGTATCTGGTTGCTTCATATTTTTCCCCAGGCACCCGATGTCAATCGCCCCAAGACAAACCAAAAAGGGATGGGCGCTTTGCACATCCCAACCGGAGTGGCTCGACTCCGTTGGTCCCGTCAGTTTGAGTGCTGGTCTTGGCAACGGGCAATGTGGCTCGTCTTTGTTTGAGTTGATACCCTTGCTTGGTGGTTTCAAAGGAAAACTAAAAGGAAAACCACCAAAAACGAGGAGGGGGCCTAGGAAAAGACACACTCATATGTACTGTTACTGTGACCTTCTGCAGTACATGGGACAACTCGCCAAATTTCCACAAGGAAGTAGTAGCTGCTCACCAAGCTCGAAGGTCATGGACCCCGACAACGAATATTCTTTGCAAATTGTAACCACCACCTCACAGATCCTGATGGTAAATGAGGTCACCCAGGATGAATAGTTGAATTTCTAGGTTTGGGGCTTCCAAACTTCCAGTTAGGGAAAAGTACCAGATGGATTCTGTCGGTTTTTCAGTGTGATCCGCAAGCCCCCGTTGAGGAACCCGCATTCATGTATGGGGGCGGGTGGTCCACGTGCTTTTCATACAATTCCTCTAGTTTCCCTTCTTGTGGGGTAAATGGAAACTTATACCCAATCGGGGGGGGGGGGCATCATGATTTTCACTTAGATGTTGGATAGTGTGCTTTTGTGGACGGTCTCGACAGGCTGTTAAAAAATGCTGCAGCCTCTAAAAGATATGACCAGCTCGCCCCGAGGTTGGACTAAACTGTTTGGGCAGAACAGTTTAGCAGTACCCTCCAACAAACGTCACCAATTGCCCAAGAAGGGTGGTGGGGATCAACGGAAACCCCAACGATGTCCCAGGATTGGATGGTCGACACCCTGGGCTGGAGTTTCATTGCGCCTCAGATGGCAGGATCGGGCGTTTGCTTCTCCCATGACAGGGGCAGGGCTTGGTAAGTCAGCAATGGCCCCATTTATAGCCCATGCCGCTTACCGTGGTTCCTATTTCCTAAATAACCTGCCTCTCTAAGTGAGTGAAAAACTTGAAGATATCTTGCATCTCAACAGTCTGAGAGCGAAAGCAGAAATGCGCCTGAAAACGGCAAATTTGCTTGAACAGAGGAAGTCTGGTGGTTGAAAGGTTGAGCACTCCCGCACATGTGCAGTTGAGCATGTGCTTTGGGCTCTTCTTTTGCCTCTTGTGCCCTGTCCATTGTCCGGCATGGTCATTGCTTGGGATTGGGGCTTCAGCCTGCTTGACGGCTGTGGGAAAAGCGCACCCACCGCATGCCCTCGTTTAGCTGTAACTGCAAGTCAACTGGGAACACAAGAAGATTCTGGGGGACTCTACCACCCCCCAAAAATCATAAAAGGAAAGCAACCAGCCTTGTCAAGGTCAACTTTGGCCCTTAGCAGTCGTTGGGGGGGCGGGGAGGCTCTCTGAAAACCTAAGGAAATGAAGGCCGGTAGGGGACAGCAACCAGGGTGAGCAAGACGCAGCCCCACGCTGCCCTGATGCAATCCGCCAGATCCCGGGAGGACCGAGGATATTTCGGAGGAATATCTGAGAAGCCCAAGTGAGGTTCTAAGTAGGTGTGAGGGTACCACTTCCAAGAAAAAGGCTTGAAGGTTTCACATCGCGTAGCCCAGGTTTGTTCCCTATGCAACATGGGCGAGTTCGGCCAGAATCGGCTGCAGCAGGTCATCTTCCGCTTCGACGGAGCGGGCGGCATGGTTTGGGCGATGATCAAGCGTAGAACAGAGGCGGATGTGTGTCCTCTTTCCCCGGGCCCAAAAAAGTGGTGTTGCCATCAAACCAAGGCAAAGGCCCTTCTCCAGGCGGATGCATCCGGGTTGCCAGGAGACAAGCGCGCGCTGCCAGTGTCCAAAAGCGTGAACAACGCGGTGCAGGAGTCGGGGCCTGAAGCCTCGGTCAACCTGGGTGCGTCTCGAAATCGGGTGCCGTTGTGGTGTTTTTTGCGGTTTTCCCTGTGGGTTCCTTTAAGCCGATCCGACAAAGGGCACCAAACCTGAAAAAGCTACACCCAAGCCTCACACAGATTAGGCTCTTAGCGTTGCAAGCATCCAACAGGCCAGGTTTATCTAGCCCAAGGGCTCTTGTACCACACCCTAGGCACCCTGGCAAATCACTCAAACCGGCGTTGTTTGACAACACCTAGGCGGCCTAGACAGGATCCTTTTAGTGTGTTTCCACAATTGGGAGGGCCCTTGAACATACAACGTTTCTCCACGCAATTGACCTCTGGCTTTGTGTTTCAGCATGGTTTACCCCACATTCGATCCAACGTGTCGCGAGTTCTGAGCAGGGGGTTGCTTGATGGCAGCTTGCGGTTGACGTGAACCTGGGAAGACCGTAGTTTGAACAAGTCTGGATACGTTTGGAGTATCTCAAGCAGTAGGACTCACAATCAGATGTCGCTCCGGAAGCGCACGTTTTAGCGCTCAACACCGATTCGCATTCAGCATCTTGGTAGGCGGTTCTGGTTGAATGGATGTTCTCAGGGTGGCGTAAAAGCATCTGGCACCCAGGTACCAGCCTTCCGTGCATATGTCCAATTCCACCGCAATGTCAAAGCCGTATGGGTGGGTGCGTCTCTTTTGCCGGTACCCCTGCTTTGGTGTTTTAAGAGGAAATTTGAAAGGAAAGCCACCCCAAAATGTCCCCCTGAAAAGGGACACGCCCAGGAGTCTGTGAGGCTCAATGAACATTTCCACCAGGTTGAGTTGGGAGAGACGAGACTGGGTGACGAGCGCTGAATCAGCAAAAAAAAGAAACCCACTAAATGTCCCATGTTTTCTTGGGAGACACAAGTAATTCGTGGCTTGTGTGCTAGGGCCGCAGGTCAATTCCTCAAGCCTCTGTTGTGGCCGTGAGAAAGATGTGATCGGACTTGCTCAAGTCCTCATCTTGCTTCACTTCCTCTGTAAACTGTAAACTGTGCGCGAAAGATCTAAATAGCAGACAATGCTTGGTTCCCAATCTCGAAGCGGACTTTTTTCTTTTCCAAACTTTGAATGCGGCATTTTGTTTTGCTTGTAGACGCCTGTTTAGGTGAGACAGCCTCCAGGCTGCAGAGCGCCCGCGTTACGAAAGTTGCAGTTCTCGTGACTTGTTGCCGCCATGGCAAAACAAAGGACATGTTCCAGGCTTGTTCAAGGGTGTAGCTTTTGACTTGGGCTGCTCCTCTGGAACAACACTTAACCCGGCCACCGCGAGGTACATTGACCCGGAGATCTTCCCCAGCTACTGGGAGTATGAGGAGGTGTGGGTGATGGCATTAAGCACGAAACCAGCATTTCAGCAGGGACCAACACCCATGTTGGCCATTCAAGCGGGGGGTTCTATTGTTTAGCTGTTTGACTCGCATCCCCAGCTTCTGGACTTAAATTATTTGGGGAAGGCCGTTTTATTTGTAAACGAGTGTTTAGGCTGTTGATTGGCCAATCCCACTGAGGAAGCGAATTGACACGCGTTGATCATGATTGAAGTCATCAAGCCGCTGCATGCATCCTTCCAGTTCCCATCAATTGCATGAGTGCAGTCGTAAGCCTTCGACAAGAGCCTCATGCTTCCCACTTTCCCGAAAGCAATGCATGAGCTTACGTGCCGGGCGGGCGGGGAGGGGGGGGACCTGCAAAACTCCTTGCCATTTTCTGCTCTTGTGGCGATCGAATCGGGTTTTGGCGCACCTTGAGGAAAATGGTCGACATCGGAGCCCGGAACATTTTAGTCTGCTGGTGGGTGGGGAGGTACTTCTTATATATTTTGTATAAGCAACCCGCAAGTTTCAAGGCCTAAGCGCACGAGGAAGGTGGCATTTTGACATTTGGAGTACGGTTTCCCATGGATTTAGCATACATTTTTGTGGGGCAGCACGGCATTTTGTCCTCCGCATGATTCGCCCATGGTAGCTCCAGAACTTCCAGTTGCCGTTTGTTTGTTTCTTTGAGGCAACCCGCAAGTGGAGGTTTGGATTGGTGGTTTGGGAATTTGAGCCTCTGAATCTTGTCAAGGGCAAAGGGGAAGCTGCCCCCGACCTTCCAAGCCACCAATCCACCAACTAGGGGGAAGCTGATATGCTTTCCTCCAGCTCGAGGATGTTCCTTCGGGTAGCTAGCACCGGGTTGGGCTCGTGGACCCCGGCTGGAAGGTGCTGCAGCAGCAAGTGATGCAGCGCGTCAAGGCGTGCAAGGCGGAGGAGAAGGCGGGAACGGATTCGGGACAATTGCGCGTGAGCGAAACCGGCAAAGCTGCTCAGCACGAAAGCAAGAGGAACTCATTCAGTAGCTAAATGGGCCTTAACAAGCCCATCCTCTTACTGGGGGGGCTGTTCCCCGGGGAGGTCCCTCCCCCACTAAAAGCACTAAAAGGGGACACTCCTCATTCAAATCAACCAGGGCCGGGGTTCCCATTATCCCCACTCCTGGTGGTTTCCTTGACCAATGACAACCCTTGGTTCGGGGGGTGTGAACAAACGGGTTCTTGTGGGTACATGGGAAACGACCCAGAACAATGGGCCCCAAATATGCACTGCTGAAATGAGTATGGTGCATTTTGTCTGCTGGTTTCAAGGTGAATCTATCACTACTGGAAATTTTATTTGGTCCATTGGACGAACAGCAAATGGCAGATTAGGGAAGCTGAGCTGTCGAGGAAGCCCTGCAACAGCTCGTGGACGCCACTTTCAAGCGGGTTTTGACCCGCGACCGCGTGCCCGATGACGCCGCTCGGCTTGAGAGAAAGTGTCTCAAGGGCAGTGGTGGGTGGCTGGGTGGGTGGTGGTGTTGAAAACCCGCGTGCAACGCACTCCAAAATGAGAACAATCGAGTTATAATATATTAGATTTCATGGTTGGAACTTGGAACACGATCAAACATGAAAGTCGATTTGCATATGTCTTTTTTGGGGTTGGAACTCTTTCCGCAATGCTTGGATGTAAATCCGAAGCCATGAATTGCATCCCAAGGGTCTTGAGTTGAAAGCCTACCCCTAACTGACCCGAGGCAATCATCCAAGAAAGACAATCTCAGCTGTTCAAAGCTGACCCTTTCACCTTTTGGTTGTCCAGTTTTGCCCCAAAAAGGTGAACATGTGTTCCCAGCGTCCTTGGGGCAAGTGAGAGAAGGCTGACTTCCCCTCCCCCGCTTGACTCAAAGCCACGGAGTTTGCTTCCGGAGTTGCCAACACCTCTCCAGGAAAGGCTTGGCGTTTGCCCACGGAAAAACCAAACTGTTCATCCAACACTGTGGTCGGTAATGGGGATTCAGGACTAAAGAACCTCTGGTTGACTAACAAGGGGATGCCCAATTTGAGACGGAATCTGGATCACTTATTTAAAAGGAACACCCCGTATGAGCCGGATAGGCTTAAGCCCGAGCCGCCTTGCAAGGGGGGCAATAGGCATGGCCCATGATGGTCACCAATTGCCCAACGGTGACTCATAGTCACTGTCAGGTTGCTATGGCTCCCCTTGGCGCTGAATCAGCAAACGATGAAACAGGGGGTGACACGTGTACGTGGGACGTAAACAAAAAGGGCACCCTCCTCCCCGTTAACATGGAACCTCACTTCCTGGTTGGATCTTGTTTTCATCTACAAAAAGGAGGGTTTCTACGGGTCTCGAAATTGGGGCACGCGCCTACAGGCACGTGACTTCTTTAGATTCCTCAGACCTTGGGATCGGCCTTGCGCTTGGACCTCTTTTGGCGGCCAACAACTGAAACTTGGCCCAAATCAGGGGCACACAAACAGTTAAAACAAATCATTATGGTCCTTACTTAGTCTACTCCAAAAATAGCATTCTTTTGGAGGAGACCCAGAAAGATCCTGGAAGTACGTTGACCCTAGATGTCTAAGAAACTAGTTGGAACTTCTACGAGTGCCTCAAAACCCAAACTGTTGTAGAAGTCTCTGGGGGCGTCGTCGCGTCTCTCCGCAGGTTCCTGTTCCCGGATTTGAGCAAAGGGCTCGCACAAACAAGGCGGAGACGTGGGACATAGCCAACATTGCTACCCAAAGCCGGGTTGCACTCGCGTTGGCTCTTCAACCGACCTAAGAATGGTCCATTTTGGCCCGCATGTTGCACCTCACTCGCCAGACAAACTAGAAATCACAGATTTGCCTTCTGTGGGATTTCCCAAGGGTCAAATCCGGTTCATTGAAGATTTACTCCCTACACTACAAATTCACTGTCCCCTAAAAAGGAGTTTCGACTACATCTTCTTTTTTTTGGGGGGGGTCCCATGTCATTTTGTGGAGCAGAGGATTTTCTTGTAGGAGCCTTGGGGAAACGGTTACCCAGTTCGGTGGCACCAATTCATTTGAATCCCGTGTTTTGTGGCTCTAAACTGATGAAACCCCAAAAAGCAGGATGACTCGGCCTTGTTTCTAGGTATCGACACCCCCGAGAACCTTGTTTTCTTGCTTCAGGGAACCAACAGGTTTGTGAATGAACCCTTGGGGTTTATCGATTGACCAGCAAATGTTGCTGGGAGAACTCGGCTGGGTATAAGTCCCCGAATTGGGTACCGCTCGCTCTCAGGACGCTGAGAATGATGAAGAGATGCCCTACCGGATCGAGGCTGGTTGCTTCAATTGCTCCAAGCATGAACTCATTTTGCGCCAGGCGTGATAAGCCCTACACTGGGATCAAACAACCTACCAAGTGGTGCAGGGCTTTGTCCATCAGCAGTAGATGTTGTTGTTGGGTCAGTTTGGTCTGAACATAGATGGGTTCCATTGGTTTCAAGTTGTTTGCAAACATCTGCCAGTGCCATCGATTGTTCAAAACAAGTTGCCCCAATCACCGCAACCTCTGCTTTGGTTCCAAATGCGGTCCCCTCCCCCTCCCCCCGAAGCCAAAAGGGGCTGGATCATGTTCGAGTTTTCCGGACGCCATTTGGCATTCGGCTAGAAGAACAAAAAAAGTCATGACGAGAGGACTTCGGCCATATAGATGGGTTGGTCTTTGTTTTTGAATCTAAAAATATTCTTACAGGAAATTATACAGGAACTAATTTGTTCTTTGCTGGCTGTTTTGCCAGTGTCCTTTGGAATTCCTGCCGGTTGAAGTTTTGAGACACCGCTTCGGCCCACAGGTGGTGCATGCTTTCCGCAGCGAGCATGCCAGCAGTGAGCTCAGACTCGAGCTCCAGAATGAGTTGCCATTCCCCCAAAACGGCACCTGCTCGGGGCCTCCCTTGAGGAAATTGAGTTTGCAGGTACCCTCCAACAAGTGCTAGATTTATGGGAGGAAGAATAAGTAAGTTAGAAGGTTGGTAAGGGACAATGAGTAGATGACACTATCGCCTAACCTATGTCACCGAAGATCAGCCACAGGTAGATGAAGGTACGTGGACAACCCCCCAAAAATACTTTCGGATATCCGCCCTTTTGATGCTTTTCATGGTTTTGGGGTAGACTTCTTGAGTAGCAGGTCTTGATTGTGACTCAAATGGGTGTGTCTCACGGGGATCCCGGGGACAACAAATGAACGGGTTCTCATAGATGGGCCAATCGCTTGCAAAGGACAACTAGTCGTGTAGCATCTGGACGGTACCCGACAAGATAAGAACCCATTTATGCCAATTGCGTTGTGCCCTGTTGTTTTCCCTATGAAAACAAAGTCTACAGAAATTCGGCCATACCTGGCAACTGCCACAATTTGGACTGACTTCCTACAAAACAATCCGGTTCGTGGTTTCTGGGAGTTTCGCTTCCGTTTGCCTTTGTTTCAACCTCTGAAAAAGCCTGAAGAGCTGCCCATGGACCATTGAAGATCAACGTGCTGGTGCCTGTCTTGCCGGGAGCTAGTTGACTCATGAATCTTGAGGTGAGATGGTGTACCCTGGTAGCCAAGAGACACCCCAATCACCCAAGGCTACATGATTCGGGATGGCTGGGTGACAAGATGTGTTCCTTCCAAAGTACTGGCCTGCTTCTATTTGGCATGTCTCGTTTGAGATTCTGGTTGCCTACTGTGCCTGCCGAGGGCTGCAAAACTTGCTCTGCCAAGTGGAGTCCGACAAGGAGGTCGGTTGGGAGGGGCAGAAGCTTGGATGTCCAAAACGGATAGCTTGTTTTTGGATGGTTCCTTCTTTTGAAAGGATGCCGGGGGCTGGGGTGCCCCTCTGTAGATTGGAAGTAGTGAGAACCCTGTCAGAGGAAGCAGGCGGATACGCAGCTTAACAGCCTGCTTCGAGACCAAGTGACTGCTGACAGCCTGGTAGTTTTAGGCTTAAGTGCATGACACTACGCCCTTCTCATGGCTTTCTGTTATTGTGGGATTTTGTCTGGGGTTTGGTGGCGAGGGTAACGACATTTGGGCACGGGCACGCTGAGCCCCACCTGCGCCGTTTGCCCTTTGAATGCGCAATGTTTTCGCATGCGTCTGTTCTTGTGTGCTTTCCCAAGTGAGCAGGCCACTGCCAAACATGATGGGCAAATGTCACAGATTAATGACCAGACGGGCTCAGACAGGAGAGGTTGCAGCGGAACAAACAACTCAGAAAAAAAAAGAAGAACAACTCCAAAATAACTCAGAAAACAAAAAAATCGGGGGGGGGGGGGGAGAAAGGGAAAACACTCAGCTCCCGACTCAGCCTCAAATCGAGTTTAAAGCTGAGTTTGTTCTGAGATTTTTTGAGTTGTTCCTGAGTCTTCCCAGGTTGGGAGTTTTCCAGATTGAGTTGTTCGTACGTAGTTCTTGTTTACCATTGTTCCTTCTTGGATGCATTTTCAAACTCAGCCAGAGGGCTTCCTCTGGGGTTCCAAAATAAAGGGCCTCCCGCAGACAACTTCCGGATGGATCGCGTAGCTGCTGTAGCATTCGGACTGAGTTCCCCGAGCATTTCCCACCTGGGGAATTTGGACTACTCCTTGGCTCGGACCCCCTTTGTGGCTTTCACACTAGCATCCGAAAGCGGAGATTGTAGGCAACCTAGGAGACCCACCACGAACAGAATCTGGCGACGTGCTATCGCCGCCGAGCTTTCTTGAGCTTGGACGACTGCTAAGAATCAACTCTTCGGCCAGATGGTAGAAGTTTCCCTGGAGGTGTTCAAAAAGCGGTGTGCTTATTAGGCAGTCATTTCTCTATCAAGCTACCGTTTTCTATCTCTCATAAATTGCTGCGTGGGGTTGCAGCCAATGATTGATCCATCCCGACCCGCTTAAGAATGGAATTGGGGGAGGGGGTGACCCCAGGAATTTCATTAGTTCAATCTTCCCTTTATAAGAAAAAAGGGATCAATGGAGTTAGGCCCCGGACCTCCACGCCCACTGAGAAGGATGTTCATCCTAAATGAATGGGCCCTGGATTTCAGGTTCACAAAGCCTAGTGTAGATGTCCAAGCTCTTTGTGCCTGGCCTTGAGCCTCGCGTCCCCAATTTATGAACTCAGGAAGGTCCTTTGGGTAGAAGCACAAAGCGCCTACCATTTCCAAAGCTTCCTCCATTTCCCCTTTTTAAAACTCCAAAAGCCATCCACCTGTAAATTGCAACTTTGGGAGGGGAAATCTGGTGACCCCTGTTTTTGGCCAATCCACTTTGGAAGGCCTCCCCTTCCCGTTAGTCAGTTCCTCCCTTTGGCCAGACCGGGCCGCCCAGCTCTCAGTGATTAGCTCACTAGCACGAAACTGATGACTTCGTTGCTCTGTTGTTCAAAAGCGACCGATTGACCTGTTACCCAAAAGGTGAACATTTATTTCTAGCTCCTTCGGGCAAGAGAGCATCAGCAACCAGCTAACGCGGATCACCTAAACGGCCGAAACGACCGACTACCCTCCCTGCAATCATGCAAGCCGACTGAGGGCTCCCGGTTTGGTTCTCCGCTTGTGGGACAATTTCCATGAAGTGGACAGGAGGCTAATTAATTGCAACTGCACATCAATGTTTCAAAAATTGGTGTTTGACTCTGTGTTCCTTTTTGACTGGTTTCCCTTGAAACCACTGTTACTAACAAACGTACGCAGTCTCTATGACCCTTAAAACGTTGGGGTCATTGTCCAAAAGAAAGGGATCATGACCCATTCTTTAGGGTCATGGAGGCTGCAGGTACCCACAAGAAGACGCGCCAGGCTCCAGAAGAGAGCTTCAGCATAAAGACCTCCGAGGTGGAGACGCTGCTGAGTGAGCGCCTGAAACAAGGCTCGCTCGATACCGACCGATCGCGCGACAGGGCTCAGGGAAAGCCTTCCTCTCAGGCGCTCAATTGGTGTTTAGGTATGGTAGGGGGTTGAACCCCAGTTCCTCGTTTGCTACGGGGTCTCCCATGTAAAGAGGGATAACCTTTTCTAGTCCGGCAGGCTGATTATCCGGTTCCCGTCCAGACTAACATGTTCTCAGGGCCCTGAAAGACTCGGTTGCAGTGGCCTAGGGGCTGTGATGATAGCGGGAAGTTTCCAGAATCCAGGGTTGACACTTGGCTAGGCAACGTCGACCCACGAAATACCTGACGACAAGCTAGGGTATATGCCTGTTTCTGGTGACAGAACAGTTATATGCACATTTCTCTCCCCGAGCATCAGTAAGTCCAAAGAGCCAGACCTTGTATCTCCTTAGCTTCCAGAAATGAGCCCAAAGAGTAATTCGTCGACGGATCCATGAAGCTGGACCTGGGGTGTTCCCAAAGTGATCCGGATCCTCTCTACAATGCTACACCTGCCTATTGATGAACCAATCCTGGGCTCTCCAGCCCAAAACCAGGGCGTAGTTGGGGAAACATGTTGTGCACTGCACTGCGCATTTGGAATCTCAATCCTTTGTCCTTCTGCCAGATGATAGTGGTTTCCATTGTTGCTTTGGTGTCCCACTACGGACCACCTGGTTAGGATCAGGGATCTTTCCGTTTTGAACAGCCCAGACAAGTATTCAAAGGTCTTGACGTGGCATCACTGTTCCGGTGTGTGGGGTCCATGGCCTCGTAAAATCCTTGCCGAGGCCAATTGACATTGTTGGTGTCTTCAGTAAGGGGACCGAAAAGAATATGTTTTCTTCCACTGGCTTCCTTTCAAACAAACCTAGAAGAGTGGTAGCCTGACACAACAAGCTCACCCACAAAGCTGGGCTCAGCCAAGATGGAAGCACCCCCGCATCTATCTCCCTCGTGCCCTGATATACTTGCCCCTCCGCACAGACGAGAGCTACCTCTACCACGGCACCAACCCTTCGTCTGACGCTGGCCTGCATATTTATGCTCGATTGTGGCTCAGGGTTCCTTACATGCTGCCTTTACTAAACATCAGCAACAATGAAGCTGCAAACCACGTGATCTCATGTTGTCGCCCGGTTGGCAAAGCTTGTTTGTTGGGACGGTATGCCATTGCCATGGTGGCGAAGCCCAGTGTGCTTAGCGTCTATTCCCAGGGTTGTGGCTACCAGCTGCACTAAGTTGTCCTACTTATATATGTATGTTGTTTGCATACATGTATACATCTATATGTTATTCAATGTTGTATATATATATGTATAATTTTGTATATGTGTGTATGAGTAGAACGCCCGTGGAATACTCATTTGTTGGTCTGCTTGCAGTGGCACACACACACATATATATATATATATATACATAGTTGTACGCATGCACTGATCAATTGATGTGTTTATTCATACTCCCGGAGCTCCTGTACTTTGTACTTCTTGGCAAGGCTATGTCTCAGTCGCAAAACTCGATCTGAACTGAGAATATGCCGGAATACTTGTTCATAGCACGCCAAATGGTAACCACAGGCCAATCGGTGAGTACCAGCCGGGGGGGAGCATAAATAGAATGTATTGGGACAGATACAGTCGGGTTACATATTTTTCAGCAATGGGCGGTACCAAAAAAACATGAATCAGGTTACATCAGAACATGATTTTTAATTGGGTCGAGAAGGGTACCAACTCAAAACAGGCAATCTGAAAGTACATGGAGCGTGCTGGTTGATGCATATCTTTAGATGTTTGGTGGTAGATGTGTAGAAGCCGCCTTTTTAGCTTTGAAACGCGCCCTTTTTAGGCCATGAGCATTCTCAAGACGGGCTTCGTTCTCGACCACGCCGGCAGTGACGCGGCTGAACTTGGGTCAGCACTCTTGTGGCACCGGTGCCGTTCGCGAAAATGGCCTGAATCAAGACTTGGGAAACCTGGGGGCTGGCGAGCTCATGCGAGCTCTTGTCTGGCGAGCTCCCTGGCAGGAAGCCATTCTATCTAGTTACCCTGCTTGTTTTTGCTATACCCCTTTTCCGGTGTTGATCATTTTTGTTGGACAAGCATCACTTATTCTCATTCTCTGTGTGCCCGGTACCCCCCTCCCCCCCATTTTCCCTGCAAGTTTAGTGTTCAATCCTGTAGGCTTGCGCTTCTGCAATGTTTCATGATGTTACGACCAAACAGCTTAAACAGTCAGCTCAGCTCAGCTTCCCAGCGTTTGGGGCAGCTGACCTTTTGCTTTGCTTTCGGGGAAACGCGTTTTTCCATGACAGACCGGCTGAAAGAGTGCCAGGATATCACGGCCCCAGTGCAGGAACCCTTCGAACCACACTTTTTGGGCTTATTGTAACGAGCTTGCCTGGGCAGAAACGAGCTTACCAATTATGAAAGTTCCTTTCTCGGTCGGGGAGGTCCTCTTTCCAGTTTGTCACCAAAAGTAATTTGCCCAGTATTTGTTCCATGTGTGTGGAAGGCATCAGCACTGACAAAGCATGGAGTGGTCCGGACACCTGCTTAAGATGATGGCCCGATGGCCCTTATGTCCACTTCCACGATTGTTGGAAAGTTTGTCTCTTTCCCTGAGTTCCTGGACTGTACACAAGAAGTTTGGAGTTTGTCTAACCAATCCACTCAGAAAGTGAGGTGCAACCCCCAATTTATTCCCACTTGGAATGGACATGTCGACACCTCCCAGGCGCTACGGGCACTATGTACGGGGCAGGGGCTTATGCCTCAGCGATGTGCCGGCTTTCGGGGCCAAGCCTTGAACAGTAGGCTCACTTGCCCAAAGCGAATCCCTGAATCGACCTGATCCGACCTTTGACTTCCATTTGCTTAATTTCACATCTTAGTTTGTACTGCTGGTTTAAAACGGCACCTATGACCGCTGGAATATCCTCTTTTTCCAGGGGACCTAAGCAACTCGGTGTTTAGTTTCCCCTTTTGGGGTTCAATAATGTTTAGTGGCTCCAAACGGCGATCACCTTGTATTTCCGCGGCCCTAAGGGGGCTCTTGTTCAGTGGGCTGCAAAGAACAAATTTGTTGCGAAGATACCAATGCTCAAGATTAATTACGTCCTTAGTGGGATTCTTTTCAGGGCAACCTTCATCAAGGGGTTTGCTCAGCATTAATCGGGTCATATTTGTGTCGAGTGGTGAGAAAGCACTCGTGGATTTCATGGTTCCGTCATTGGCAGGTATAGTGTGCAAAGTCCAAAGATTAGTTTTGAGATTGGAACAATTCACACGCATTTGCACTGGGTGCAAGTAGAAGGCACAGTCACAATTTCTCGATGTTAGGATCAACATTAGATGGACTTGCAGAAGGGAATAGTGCCATCTATTTTGACCTTTGCAAAGATGTTCAGAGGGTCACATAGAGAGTGTCACTTCATTTTGCCCAGTTCTGAAAGAAAATCGTGTTGCACATCGCTCGGCTGATGTGCAGTAGGGAGGTTGTCAAATTTAATGTCGGCCGCCTTTGGATTTGCAGCTGTGCCGCTCGTTTGGATTTGAACCCCACTGCCTTTTGAAGCCACATGGGGTTTTGGTGCCCCCTAATACCCAAACCACCAAACCAAATCACAAATTACGGGTATCCGCTAGGACCCCCAGCGAAGTTTCATGCTTTTTTTGGAGACCTCCCTGGCGCCCTGGTGTAACCTTCATGTGCGGGGTCCTTCGGTTGCCCCATTCGAAGGAAGATGAACCTCTGACTGCCTGGAGGCAACTTACCCATTGATTATGGTTAAGAGTGCTGATCCCAAAAGTCAAAGGGGTCCCGGCACACAATGGCGCATGCTGAGGGTTATTGCAGGGGACCCTTTGCGATCAGTTTTCACTTTGTAATGTGTATCAGTAAGCAATTTTGGAGGGTGGCTCCCACCACAATTTATGGCCACATACGCCATGGGTTCATACGGCTGTTTTCCATATGGCGAGCTCTGGCTGTCAAACGAGCTCACTAATGGCCCTTGATTTGCAAACCCGTTGCTGACCACCTTAGTTTATCACTACCAAAGTCACCCCCTAATTGAGTGGTGGGTTAAAGAGAAAACACCCCTGTTTCTGATTTTGATAACCGCTAGAAACAGACAAAATCATGGCCCAGCCTTAGTTCGAGTTTTGGAATTACTAGAATGTACTGTACCGTTTGCAGATGCAACATGTGGGCCATTCCGAACCGAAATCTGGAGGCTAAACACCTCTTTTGTTGAGGGGGTGGCAACCACGAGTTGAAAGCAAAAGGACAGAGTAGAACCCGAGGGAAACTTGAAAACCTTCTTCCCCTCA